TTTGAGGGGTCCACAATTATACAAGCATTCCTTTTTAGTGGACCCCTCTGTTTCCAATATGTATTCCTTAATTGTTATAAATGATTATAATTGATTTGTAATGTTTTGTTGAAAACAACAATAAAATTGAACTAAATTGAATTGAATTGTTATATTCATAAAGTTAGCTTCATGTTAAGAAAGATATCGATGAAGATGTCGACCGAAATATTTCCTTCTAGATGGCTATTTGTAAATTACTCATCAAGGAAAATGCCATAGAAAAGACTTTACCTCCATGCTCTTTCAAAATGGCGGCTCCAATCAAACTCAAAATGAGGAATAACATTTTAAGTCACCAAAATCCCTATTTTGAAACCTGGGCCACCGTCTAATGTGTCGAGCAGCGACGCTTCTGCACATGTACTGTACTTGTGTTGTCTTAAACTAGTTTCGGTTTGAATTTTATTATTGCACATTTTACAGCCATTCACCTTTACACTTGAACGATTTATAACGATTTAAAGGAAGTACAATGTCTCGCATAGATTATAAATATCTCTGTAGTTTACAGTACCATATTGTTCCAAGTGCTCTCGACTAGGAATTTTGATCGGTTTATATCATTTCGAAACCATCTTTCCATTACTTGAAAGGAATAGCATTTTCTCTGATATTAATCATCGACAACGTGGGAAACTTTCTAGGCACAAGGTTCATCGTGGCCTATTCGGTATAATAATGTTAAAGTTTTGTTCTGAAATAGTCCGTTGTGAAATGTAAATTAACAAATGTCCTGGCTCGAAAGCGCCCTTTTCTAAAAATTTCGAATATAGGATGTATGAATCATTTCCTCTTGATACAAAACGTTGACACAAAATGGACAATTTTGATGAAGTCACAGTACTACAAAAGAGGCATCGACCGTAAATGTTTATATATCGGTTACTTTATTTACTATGCACTTTTTCTCTACATTTTAACCAACAGGGGCAGGCCCATTCATTTATTATTTTGTTATGTTATATGCAAAGAACTGTGGAAAACCAGTTTACATTTTGCATCTTGTAAATGTGTATGTATACACTCAGCAATAAAAAGAAAGTTGACACTCTTTAATGTTCAAAGTGTTACTTATGAACCATGCATCAATAATATATTTAAAGAAGTTTAAATCAAATTGATGAAAAATTATTAATCTACCACTATCAAATAAACTTCAGCACATGAACTTTAGTTTGTATGTCTTAAAACTAGTTTCGATTTGAGTTTTATTATAGCAAAATTTACAGCCATGCACAAAAAAAACTACCACACACTTGAACCATTTGCTACGATTTAAAAGAAGTATAATATCTCTAATAGACTAAATGTCTCTGTATTTGACAGGACCATATTGTACCAAGTGCCCTCGACTAGAAATTTTGAGCGGTCTATATCATTTCGAAACCATCTTCTCATTACTTGAAATGGATAGCACCTTCTTTGATATTAATCATCAACAAGGTGGGAAACGTACAAGGTTCATCATGGCCAATTTGATAAATTTGGTAGAGTTTCGTTACAGTTTTGTACTGAAGTAGTCAGTGGTACAAATAATAATCATGGAATGAGAATTAAAAAAATGTGCTGGCACGATAGTGCTCTTTACATAATATCATGAATATAGGTTGTATCAATCATTTCCTCTTGAAAATTACGTTTTTTCCTCTGTTACTATAAAACATTGACACGAAAAGGGAAAGTTTATGATGAAGTCACAATACAACAAAAGAGGCATCAACCGTAAATGTTTATTTATCGGTTACTTTATTTACTATGCACCTTTTCTCAATATTCTAACCAACAGGGGCAGGCCCATTTATATATTACTTGTTATGTTATATGCAGAAAACTGTGGGGGAAAAAAAACAGTTTACATTTTGTATCTGATAAATGTGTATGTATACACTCAGCAATAAAATGAAAGCGGACACTCTCTATTGTTCACAATTTTTTTAATATAAACCATTAATAATCTATACTTCAAAAATTTAAATCAAATGGATGGAAAATGATCACTCTAGTACTACCAATATCTAATAAAAACCAAGAGTTTGACTCTCACGGTAGGATGGGCATATCTATTTAAGAGTTAGAAGGTGTGATTAAGAACATTGCAAAATTAGAGGGAGCCATTCAAATGTTAATGAACATGTTCATCTGTATTAAAGAATTTTGTATTTAACAATTAAAAACAACGAATGAGACATAATGAGGGGGATTGAGTTCTGGATGACATCTGTAGTCACAGGACTGCATGGTTTTGGCAAGCATAGTTGAGCTGTCTCTATTTTAGCTTTTCCCCTGACAGTTTTTGTTATTACTTGAACATACAAGATTTAATTGTCATCAACATTTAAATGGCCAGATGGCCCATTTTTGCATTTCATTTTTCAGATACTCTTTTACTGTTAAATAACTATGCTCACTTATGCTTTAATGGTATGATTCCAGTCGAATATCATCTTGAAGTAGATTAATTCATGTTCGATTTTTAATATTCTAGACAAATCGATATTCTACATTTTTTTAGTTGAAAATCTTAATTTTGAATAGTGTCCACTTTTTGTTCCTGTTATTTTTTTCTGGATGTAGTTCATTTTTATTGTACTCGTATTCTGTACTCTCTTTTTTGGTAACAGAACGGACTCCCCTGACGTGCTCAAAATTGAATTATAGCAATATTGAAATATAAAAACAAGTAACTGAATTTCTCTTCTTTTTTTTTAATAAATCTTTATTCAGATACAAAATCACAGATAACATCATACATAAATATATATAACAAGTATTTCACCACATGTTTAAACGAGATTAAATTATATATCTGTATTTACTTGAAAGCAGATTGTAGATGCATTTCCTGTAAATCATTAATTATCTTCATCCACTTAGTTGTATTCACATCTGTTGTCATAGTTTTATTTTTCAAGTAACTGCATGAATAGGTATTTTAATTGATATCCTCCTTAGAAGGTAGTGTCTGTATACAGCAACAGTCTTAAAGGAGAAACTGTTACACAGACATAGGATGTTCTCCATATTCACCTCGAAGATGTTGGAGATCTTATGGCAGATTAGCCCTGTGCTAAACAAGTTATACAATAAAGTCTTCTACCTCTACTACTACTACTTATCCCCATATCTGAATATCTGGTAGGAATTGATTGATTGATACATTTTATTTCAAATTCAGTATAAAAAATATATTTAAAAAACAGGTTATAAACATTAACAATGTACATAGAAAATCAACTTAAATATGTGTAACAAAGTAATAACATTTAAATACAAATAGTTGGAAAATGAAATAGGGTGTATCAATTAAAACGTAGTTGGCTTGACAAGTTCATATACCCATTACAAAGAGTGAAGAAAATTATATAAATTTCAAGTAGCTGTTGGTTACATACTAAATTGCATTTAACTTAAACATACTGGGACAGTAAATAGCGCTTGTACTTATTTTCAGGTGAAGATTCTTTTGTTGTTATTATACGTTTCATCATGATCAAAAGTGTGTCACTTCATTTGTTGGAGATGTCATTTTGATGTCGTTTCAGTCTCGGTCTGAAGCTTTTTGAAGAAATCATCTTTCACATTGAATGCGTATAATTTGAATTCATTGAATTTATTTCTCAAAACTTCAATTCCTTTTCGTACATAACATAGAAACAAAGCAATTTTCCTAGTTGATACAAACTGAAACATAAACAAACTTTTTTATCATGAGATAAACAAACAGAAATACAACATAATTCTTTGTTCATATCTTCTCAATGTATATAAATAAAATATATCACAAATATATCACAAATCAATGACTTGCCATCTGTAAGCAATATTTTATCTTCTATTGTATTTGCTGATGACACCACTCTGTTTTTATCTGGCAAAGATCCCGTAGAAATAAATATTCTATTGAATTCTGAAATTGCTAAAATACACAAGTGGTTCCTTGCCAATAAATTGTTGATTAATTTTGAAAAAACAAACTATGTAATTTTTAAAACAAGAACTAAATATTAAATGAAGCTGCTATCAAGATTTGTATAAATAGTAAAGAAATTAAGCAAGTACACCAAGTTACTTTCTTAGGCGTCATTATTGATGAAAACTTAACGTGGAAGGACCACATTTATTATATTTCTAACAAGCTGTCAAAAGTCATTGGTGTTTTAAATAGACTCAAAGATATTTTACCATTACGCATACTTGTACAATTGTATAACTCTATGATTTTGCCTAATTTTAATTATTGTATTATTGTATGGGGCAACTGCGCTTCGTATCTGCTTCAAAAGCTATTTTTATTACAAAAAAGAGCCGTCAGGGTTGTAACAAACTCATATTATAGAGCACATACAGGTACATTGTTTTTTAAGCTGAAGTTTTTAAAACTTTATGATCTATATGATATAAGTATTGGAGCTTTTATGTTCTCTTACATGCACAATATAACTACATTACCTGATTGTTTTAATAATTATTTTAATCTTAATAGAGATATAAATCAATATAGTACTAGAAATTCACACAAACTTTATGTTCCTTCATTTCGCTATAATTTTTCAAGAACAGTAATAAAATATAAAGGATCCATTATTTGGAATAACTTACCAGATTCTCTCAAAGCATGCCCAACATTGTCTAGTTTTAAGCGTAATTTTAAAAACAAACAAATATCAAGTTACAATATACTTTTTAGCTTTTATTAATTTTGCCTGTCCTTGTATGTGGCTTTATATGTCTTAGTTAATGTAATGTCTATATTGTCAATATTTTGCTTTTAATTACTGAAGATTTTACTTTTGGGGTTGTAGAAAAAGGGGACCAGCCTAGATAGGTCAATGGCCTTTTCTGGTCCCTCACATCCCTACTCCACCCATTAATCATTACTGTTGTTGTTTTATTTGTTCTTATTATATTTTATATATATTGCATTTTGTATAATTGTATTTTGAATGTTATAATGATGTTTTTATTGAATGAGAAATAAAATGAACTTGAAAATGAACTTGAACTTGAACAAATACATAATAGGAAAACATTACCGCACTACACAGCCATTTCGTCCCAAAAACTAAAACAAGCATTGCTTTTTGTCTTCAGAATAATACTGAATACTTCAAAAACTATTGAGTGAAATATTGTAATACAGAATTGAAGTTATGAGTTTTTCCTTTATTAAAACATACAATCTACCCCGGGTTGTACAAAACTGATTGTGAGGCGAAATATGCTAATGGTTTTAGCGCCATCCATAATCATATTCTGCACCATTTTCACGAAACTGAGTGAGTAAAACTGAGTGAGTTTGTTTACGTCTGACTCGAGAGAGTAGCAAGACCAAGTTTAAGAAATGTATTACAATGGAACCATTTTGTGTACATTTAAAAATGGAATGCTGTGTTCAAAATAAAGAGAAAGAGAGATAATTTATTTTCGTATAACAAAACAGCAATATAGAGGATAAAATGACGCAATACTTTTCAAAACAATATTCATCTCAGCGCGTTTATATATGTTTGTGGTCTTAACTGTATTGAGTATACCTCTTTATTTGTTTTTCTATATCTTTATCCCAATGGATAATTTTTATTTTGTATAACCAAACACAAAATGACATTTCCATGTTATACAACAAATATCTTAACAATATTCGTATGCATGATTCAAATACATGCTTCAACATGAGCCATGTTAAATTGAAATCATTTCTTTTTTCACTTATATCATAAATATACGGCTCATTCTGATAATATGTCTTGATTACATATTTTATTGTATGAAAAACAGGAAACGTCCTATTTACTCTTTATATAAGTTGTTGCTTCACGAGTACTATAATTCAGTTCATTATATCATTTCGTTCTTCATTAAGTATATTTTATGGGGTGAAATCAAGGGAGAAAGTACATGAAGAATTCTCCTATATTAATTATTGGGCGTAAAGTTCAATGAATCATAATCCGGCGATGCAAAGTTTCTTTCAAGTGCGTCTTTTTCTGAGTTATCTTCGTCACCACAAACAGTCGCGTAATGGAAAGTTACAGAGAACATGAATTTATACGAGCAAAGTGCAAATGTATGAGACGCTACAACCTTTAATTACAGTTACGATAAACAGTTAATCGGCTAAAGATCTATAAAAAGTCATGGTTCTGAGTCAGATTGACAGGCTATGACGTCATCAGGCTCGTTCTCAAGAGCGGCGTGTGGAACTTTTCGATCTTTCCGAATCCAGTGTACACCACACGCACCGGCAATGAGAATTAAAATGGATGACACGCCAGCGAAAACGAAAGCTCCAATGACGGACGGTCTCTCTGTTGTATCTGTAAACAAAGACACACACTAAACAATTTTTTCTTCATATTACAGGTATTATACACCGTTCAAGATTCAAGCTTCACGTTTTACTATCGTCAATGGTAATACTTAACTTTTATTGGCTTACATTCAAGTCTTATTTTGTTCGTTTAAAAAGAAAATTAAGAACTATTGTTTTCTAAAGTTTCATCATATGCGGGGTCGTGATTGTTGTAGTTATGGATATCAATGTCAGTACCGGGCAGTGAAATATCGACTGTCCAATTTTGCTGCTATTTTTAAATTATGGTAAACGTTCTGCTTTACCTAAATGATTTGCCTGATAATGTTACTATAAAACACACTAGAAATTCATCTTAACCCTTTCGCTCCCATGGGCAGCAAAGCCCAGCAAGGAATAAGAATCGTATTGTAAATGTGGACTGAAATATGCTATTCTTTCCTGAATCCAAAATACCTGTAATATTTCTTGAAAGTAGTAATGAAGCACATGTTCAGAGCCAGATTTATGCAATATTTGATCATTGAAATAAACACAAGTTTTGTGAATATGAAGGCATATTTTTAAAGTCGTAGTAGTTTTTGTGAACACATCCAAATTAAAATGTATTACACATTTGATCAAAGACGTAAAACCAAGAATATTTACGGAAAGAGTATATTTATAATTTTGTTGGAAATTCTAGAGGCAGAGATGAGGCTTTGTGACATAAAAATACAAACAAATACAACAGACACAAGAACAATGATAAAAATGATGACTCACAACACCGCAGTCCATTATATTTGATGCCATCAGGACACACGCCTGTTGATGTCAACTGGGTTTTGCAGTCCCTTAATCCCCATGAGTTAAGACATGTTATCGTGCCGATAAACATTGGTAGGCCTTCTGGTGTTGGGACTTTGATTTTCTACACGGTATGAAGGGAACGCAAATAACAACATCTATAAAACATTAAACTGTGAAACAATATATGATGTTGACGCTAAATAAGGATTTATTTTGAAATGCCATGCACAGCTACAAAAAAAAAGAAACACATCGAATATAGAAGGGTTGATTAATCCAATATAAAACGAAACCCCACGTGTCGAAATATATGCGCCAAGTGTTACTTTTCATGAAGCCTCCATCCAGTTGATGGTGATTACCCGATAAAGTAGCATTCCAAACGGAATATATAACCCGGAATCGCATTCTCAAACAAGGTCATGGCTTGGTATTGAATCAAAAACATTAACTGCATATTTTAAATATACATTATTTGCATACATATGTATTATATATATATATATATATATATGTACCTTGTGCTGGTAAAAAGAAGTCAAGTTCAAAGAAACCTCTTGGTTCTTCTTTTAAATTGTGTGCCAAATGACGACCACGATATATATAATTAAAATACCAGAATCAAAGGAAACGTGTTATCCAACATTCAATATGACATGACCAATGCACTTTAGTCTGTCTCACTATTGTAGGGTCAGACTTTGCTTTTCTAGCATAAGGAACAAAAACTTATTCCGAATTAGTCACAAAATCCCCCACATCTCCCTCCCCCTCCCACAAGAAAAAAACTATGATAATAAATAAATAAAATTTAAAACTGAATAAACTAATTAAATACTCTGCAGTTATGTCATATTATCTGTTCGTGTCTTCTTCTGTGATCTAATGCGTATCCTAAAACGACATTGTTACACTGTACTGTGTATATTTGGAGTATACCACCCAACAAATTCGTTAATGCTCAAGAGACGGTTCACAAAATTATTGTTTTGTTGTTGGTGTCTGATATTTTTTTTTTAAACTTAATTCTCGAACAATAAATCAATACACATTGGCTTACCTCTCCACCACGACTATATCCATGAGCATCGCATATCATCATAGCCGCTCGCTGGTCCATGTCGCATACACCGCCAGTCAGATGTACAGATTTTTGGTTGTGGCTGTATGTAACAAGCAATTTGCCAACCGAGTTGCCGTTTGAAGTGCCGACGGTACTTATAAAATTTTGAGAATCAAAGTCGGCCGGTATATGAGCCTTGGCCAGTACTTCATTGTATTTGGCTGCTGTGATGCCTGTAGAAATGACAAGCGAAAGGTTGGGGTTGAATATCGATGGAAATTTTGGAAGAAATCTGAGACATTGCTTCTTTTTTTTCTCCGCTCATGTCCACCTTGAGTGCAAATAGTGTTATTTTCTTGCAATACTGCTATATTACATGTGACTAAAAACGGGTTTATAACTGAATAAATACTCTCTAACACTAAAATATAAGAAACAATGTCAACTATGTGGTATAGATTCTCTTTTGTTATACATATAAACGTACTTGCTAGCACTTAAATCGCCAAAAATTGTGGAAATCATGCATACCACAAACGACTGTCGCTAATGTTGGACAATACGTGTCGTGTTTCGTGTACTTGCAGGATAACAGGGTTTCCTCGTTTCCGTTGCAAGCGAAGTTGATTCCCTCTGTTAAAAAGGTAGGTTCAGGATCTGGCGCAGATGTCGTATCATACCAATAATGTGAAGTACTTGGCTTCGACCAAAACATAGCATATCCTTCAGTAAACCCCAGCTGTCTGCAGGTGACCAGAGCATCCAGTGCATCCCATCCGTCATTGCAGATGTTCCTCCATTCACCTGCCACGTTGATTTGAACGAATCCTTCTTTATCCGAAGATCCTCCATACAAGCGAACAGAACTATCAACAGCAACTACATGGGATTCAGAAGGAAAAAAGAAACTATTACATAGAGCTGCATGTCGTCCACGCTGTTATTTTGCAGTTCTATGTTTAGTAAATATTTGTTTCGTTAAAGACAAGGTTGAGTTCTGGGAAGAGGTGAACAATAATTTGTGAGCGTTATCATTCTTATTATGCAAGTGTGGAAGGACATCAGATAAGACATGTTCCCTGAAAAGCATGGCTCTTTAAATGCCTTCATCTTCTAAATATGCCATGTAAAATCGTAAAAATCCAGGGTAGGATTTTTACACCATGTGTTTTCTGTAGTCCCATATACATCTTTCTGTGTACAGTGTTTGTAACTTTACCAAGACTTGGCCAAATTTCTTATTATTTTGATGATTCCAGAACCTTGCAATACACACAAATTCTTATATGCTATAGATGATCAACCTTTTCTGGTCGATTCCACACCGTTTCTTTCACAATGCAATTGCATGACCAGAACTCAACTTCATCATTATTAGTAACTCCAATGTAATACATGTGATACCTTCGTACTTTTCTTTATTTCCTCATCAGTGGAATTAATGCCAGCGATTGAGTTTATTGTCGGTAGCACGGGAATACCCCCCCCCCCCCCCCCCCCCTCAGTGATGCTTTGAAAGTTTGAATACTCAATGAAAAACCGTCCGTCTCATAATCACTTTCGGCACTTTTAATCAACTTCATCGACATGTGTGCCATACTTACATGCTCTCTTGTAAGACATCACTACGAGGAAGACCAGTGTCTTCAGTTGAAAACTCGAGGTGTGGAAGAAAGCCATGCTGAATTACCGACATGAATTTTCTTTCCACTTATCCGTGTTGTATGTCCATCCCGTCACAACAACCCGCAGTAACCGTATGTCATTGAAATCGCGTACGTTTTTCCTCATGTAATAAACAAATACCAAGACAGGATACACATGTAATTTCGCAGGATTTTGAAACCAATAAAAGCAAAACTATGAAGTGTGCATACATGTAGAACATTACTGCTCTCTTCACCCTCCGACCTCATTCGTCAAATTCACAGTGGTGACAGCGAGCGCTAATGCAGTGTGTGTACATGTATACTCACTAGCTCATATGTGCTGACCCTAAATGAAGCTAGTCAAGTACACGTATAAGCTAGTTTGTGTGTCCAATGGCGGTAATACATTGTAAGGGAATTCCCCTTTCAGATCAGAGCGTATCAAAGATGATAGAGGGCGTACTTGGAAAACAATTTTTTTGCTGAATGTACCTACCCTATTTTAAATAAAACTTGAATAAATAATTAATAAATAAATAAATAATGGTTTGCGTAATATCCAATTGGCAGAACTACAATAACATATAAACTATATCAGTAGTTAGATGAGAACACAACAATTCAATTCACCTATTTAAAACATTTATAAAAGGCCAGGACATCATATATGACACACTTTAAAAATAAGATATTTGGTAGTCCACGTAGCGTGACTAATATAGCGAGTGTTAACTAGATCAGGAAGTTGACTAGACTTACAGATACAGATGAATCAAAACAAATCAATAATATAAAGTTCAGGATGGTATTTTATTGATGATGATACCGATAAGATGACGTGATTAATATAGCAGCCACCCATCTGTTTACGCCAACAATAGGCAGGGGCATTCAATGTCAGGTAAAGACCAGAAAAAGAATAACCCAGATTTGCTATTTCACCAACTATATACTGTATGTGCTACGACCTTGTTACTCCTCATATTGCTAGGTAAGGGAAGGTAGGAGTGTGTCTGAAGAAGACCAGTGAGTGGAGAGAGGGGGAGAACTAAGAGACGAATAGGAATTAATACATATTGAAGGATGGTCATTTCAGGAAGACCTAATAAGCCTTCTTACTTTATTTAATACTTTAAACATCAACAGCAAATATAGAAAATAAACATTAACAGTATACTATCTACTGCATCGCCGATGATTCTCACTGACCAGTAGTGTAGTCCGCTGGTTACGTAGGAGCGCGTTACCCCTTATTACAAGCTAAAAATATGAAATTATGCATGTATTTGCATAATTAACAATAAAGAATAACTTTGAAATATAGTGTATTGTGTAGAAAATGTGTAGATAGAGTCATTATAAGCATGATTTGATACATACAAGACAGATCAAGTTCAAGTTCAAGATCAATTCATTCATTCTTTCATTAGAAATAACAAAAATAATTAAGGTAAATAAACATCAAGTTAGAAAATAATATCGATATATAACATGAGAATAAGACAAGCAGAAAAACAAGAAGAACAATTAATTAAGGGAAAATCTTAACATGTACATTAGTGATAGAATTTGGTGGCAAGACAGGAAGGCCGGGCCTTATGTTGTAGTCTGTCTCCAGTGATTGTATATTAAAAACTATGTACATTATTTATATTATAAATTATTCAATAAAAAGGGGGAAACGAAAATAAACTTTCATACAAAACTGTATATTTCATGATAGAATATTGATAACAACGTTTAATACGCGTGCAAAGATTTGAAATATTAACAATGAAAATAATTTGATATTTGGAGTTTTGTGGAGAATATATAATATAACTCTTACATAATGTTAAGTTGATACATCGGAAAGTGTACTCTTTTAATTAATGGGTATAATACATTTGAGACAGGTTTAACATGCCCGAATTACAGCTGTTACACGACCTCTTCCATTTTCTTATTTCCTTCTCTTCAAATATTTAATGCATTAGAGGAAAGAAAAAAATCTCCATCCACACGATTAAACTTTGCATGAAACAAACTATGTATATCCATTGATTGTTACATACGGAGGAAAATCTGGAGGAGTAATGTAATTAATGCCTTGCATTTTTGTTCAATGTTTACGGTCTAAGGATACTTAGAGTGAGGTGTCTCAAAGGGAGTGACATTATCTCGTTTTCACCTAATTATCTTCTGAATTTAACAGCCTTTCAGTATAACATATTGTTAACATTGATAAATCATCAACTGATATTTCATATTTTCTGATTGTCACAGTCACTTATAGCCTAATAAATCGGTCAGACCCTTAGGTTAAATGCATTTTTTTCATCCAATAATTCATAACATCGAGTGGACGCAAGAGCGGTTGATCATTTGCCTTTCTTGTTGGGCTGGGCGTACAGATCTTCCACCGAGATATCGTGATTGTTACCAGCTATGTTAAAATTCGCCTCTAGACTAGGATAACGAATATCAAGTTGATCATCTTGACTTTGTACGGGCTCTACCACCTCCTCGATTTCGTCGTGTGAGTTGCGAAGATCCGCGCAGGCCCCTGTAAACGAGCAGGACGAGTCAAGGCCACGTGGAAGACTTGCCGTAGCACACCCAGGTCCCTGGTTTACGTCTTTCACCGTGTGGTAGATACTCTCAGAGTCCTGCAGTCCATCGGTTGCAGGACGGCCTTTATTTCGGTTTTGAACTTCCTTAGATGGGTACCATGTTACCCGCTGGCATGTTGGTGTAACTACTGCGAATGATGAGTTTTGTTTGGAACCACCATTGTTGAGTTCTGCAGGGAGTAGATGGCAATCTGTCTTACAGTCAGAAGCTTGTACATGTCCTCTTGGAGGTAACGCCGGTCGGTTGGAAAGCGCTCCAGAGACATCACCGGTGTAATCATCATCAACTTCGACATGCTGGACTTGACTTACATTCAACCGGCAGCCCTGAAGCGAGTGAATGGAATTGATGTTGCAAGAGCGGTTGTTGCCATTGCTTGATTGTTTCTCCTATCGGTAGCCACACCCTCTCCGTGTGGATCGTACCGGTAATACCGCAGTCGCAAGTCTCTCTCGCCATTTACATTCATCCTTTGGTGCACGAGATACAAACAGGTCGTAATAGTAAAAAAGTATTGTAACGCTTGCTACTATTGATAAAAGAGTAGCATATTTCAAATATTGGTAATCGTGACTTTTAGTGGTAGAGTCATTTGAGGGGAGTTGGACCTCAGTGTTACTTTGTGCCACAGATGTTTGGTTTTCTGTTGAATAATGCATGTTGTATGTTGTAATTTCTGTTGTCAGAGATGGCTCCGACGAATTGCTTGCAATAATTGGTCCATATGATAAGCGATCAATCTGGGTAGTTGATACACATCCATGAATTATAGTAATGGTTGTCTGCAACCAACCCTTCTTGACATTAGCAGTATAACAAATGTCATATTCTTCCACTTTGAACTTTGTTATACTGCGTATGTTTATCGAGCCCCGTGTTTCTATTCCACATATAAGTATAAAACTATTTCCACCAGCCATGCTAGCGTCTACAATAGTTGGTTCGCTCGGGTGCAGCTTCAGCGTTTTGAAGTTAGTCTTTACTAGCCAAACTTCCATCATAGCATGTCTGCAGCCAAGTTCTGATTGTCCCGTCATGACGATTGCCATATCAATGAGCATTGGGTAATTACAGTCGTGAGATCCTTTCTTTGTTCCCAAAAGACATTGTATAGGCCTAAGGGCCCCTGTCAAAAAGGCATTCAAACTTGTCATTAACTTTACCGTGCTACTTGCACTGTAATAATTTAAACTGCTTAACGCACTCAAAGTATTGTTTGAATGTGAATTAATGTGAACTGTTGAACCACTGTCCACTACTGTTAGTACAAGTGTGGTTTCCCCGTAGCTGTACAACATCACCTCGCATGCGAATTCGATTTCCAAAGAGTCATGTCTCAGATTTATATCGCAAGTCGGCTCATTCTGATTAACAGTAAGGTTCAAAACCAAAACTCTGTTCAACACAACTGATGATTTGTTTTTGAGAGAGACGTAGTATGCCCCTGAATTTTCTGGTGCCAGATTACCAATTTGAATCTGAATATTTGTTAACCCGTGCACAGAAAGTTGGAATTTGTAAGGATGGGTAGTTCTGCAACGTTTGTAGGAACAGTGCCCGATTTGTGATTCATTTTTCTCCAAAATAAAAGACTCACCGGATTGCAAATCACCATCTAGCTTGCAGTATACTTGAACATAGCTCCTTACGGGCTTCTCGGTTTGTTTTTCTCCAGGAAAGCACTCCAATGACTCTGTGGTACGAATTATGATACTGAGAAAACTCACTGCAAGTAACAAGGCCATGTTCGAAGGCATTTTGGATTCCTGGTGTATTCACTTTGTTCCGACAAGAACTTTAGAATACGAAGGGTTTGTAACGTATAGGTTTACCTCTTGCCCGCTTTGGTTTTGTTGATCTACGTCTTCCCTTGACCTTGTTCAAGCAGAATATTGTTTGAGTTTGAATTAGTTGTGACGACGAATCCTTCTTCACATCCTCATTTAGATAAAGCACTCTAATAAGGAAGGATAACAGGAGCCACCTCAGCTTTTTGAGAAATGCGAAGTTATGATTATACAAAGTGTCCATCAGGGCCTGAAGAAAGTTGCAAAAGGAGGGTCAGAAGCACGGTCGGAATCTCAATAAGTAATGACAACTTTATCCAGGAAACGTTCTTTTTATATTTGTCGGGCAGTGGGGGAAGAGCTGCAAACTGAAGTTTGGACAAATAGCAGTTTGCTATTGGTCGACCATGCTTACGTGCTATGAAAGCATGATTTGATTAAGCATGAATATTCATGAAGTAGATAATGGTTGATCTGGCCAATGATTGGACAATGGATGTGAATTTCATTCTGGAAAAGGGAGTGTCTCGTCAGCTTTCTCCTCGAGTCGAAACCCGTGATTTACAATTCTACTACTCATATGTTTTGTTTGATATATAAATATATCAAGAAAGTGTTTTCATTTTCTTCGGTCAGATATGATATAATGAATATCTATACATAACACCGTTGCCCACTTTGTGAAGGGTACTTTAGTTTAGCTGAACGTTCGACTTGAGAACACTGAAGATTGGTTAATTCGTCTTTCTCACATAAGAATCATTCTGTGCCTTTGAAATCTGCTAACTTATCTACAAACAGATTACCTGTGGAATTTGAAATATCTCAGGAATGCCGAGAATAGAGTTGAATATTAATGCGTATTCATAGGGGCATACAGCTAATTTTGAAGTGTAAAGTGAGATTCCATAAAGAAGACAAAATGATACTTAGGCCCATAGGATTGTGCAATAATGCCGAAGTAAAGATAAACATAACAATTACTGAATAATGTTTATCA